AAGGGATCGCAGAAGCAGCAGCGGCACGTTTCTCCCTTGCGTCCTGAGTTCGAGTGTCTTCAAAGCCCATGGCACCTTTGGTCAAGGCTGTTCTCCAACTGGAGCGCTCGCAGGCCAGTGTTTCCCAATTGTTGGTGTTTATACTACATTTTTAAAGATTTGCCTTGAGACAGTCTTTGAACCTCTTTTGTTGACCACCAGCATCACACTTTCCATTTTTAAGTTCGGAATAGAGTAGTTGCTTTGGAAGACAATCATCAGGCATCCGCACAACATGACCAGGGAAACAAAGTTGATGTTGAAGAGGGCAAGCGATGGGCTGCACCTCACAACGGTTGGGAGAAATGTTTTTGCCAAAAATCTCAGAAACCTCATCAGGAGGGCTTTAAACTGACTAATGTGGGGGAGGAAGACAGTGCTCCTGAAGGTAGGAGTCTATCAATTGATGAAGATGATCATCCAAATGTCATAGACCAAATGGAGCAAACAGCACACAGACCTAGTGGTGGGAGGAAAAAATCCTTAAATAAGAGTCACGGGGAAATGATTAATGGACTTCAATGTCTGTACACTAATGCGCAAAGCATGGGAAATAAACAAGATGAGCTTGAGCTCTTGGTACAGCAAACTAAATATGACATAATAGGCATCACTGAAACCTGGTGGGATAAGTCCCACGATTGGAATGTAATAATGGGGGATACAATCTATTTCAGAGAAACAGACCAGACAAGAAAGGAGGAGGAGTGGCGTTATATGTCAGGGATGTGTATACCTGTGAAGAGATCCAAGATTTAGAACCTCAAAGCCAAAGTGAGAGCATTTGGGTCAAAATTAAGGGAGAGAAGAATAACAGTGACCTCATTGTGGGAGTTTACTATAGATCCCCAAGCCAAACGGAGGACATAGATGATGCCTTCCTGGAACAGATGGCCAAGCATGCAAAAGGAAGGGAGATAGTAGTAATGGGGACTTCAATTACCCGGATATTTGTTGGATGTCAAACTCAGCCAAGAGCATAAGGTCAAACAGATTCCTCACTGGCCTTGCAGACAACTTCATTGTCCAGAAAGTGGGAGAAGCAACAAGAGGAACAGCCATTTTAGATCTGGTCCTAACCAATGTTGATGACCTGGTTAGTGGGGTAGAAGTGGAAGGATCATTAGGCGCGAGTGATCATGCTCTTCTGAAGTTTACTATACAGCGGAAAGGAGCAGCCAAGCATACTAGGACTCAATTTCTTGACTTTAAGAAAGCTGACTTCATAAAACTTAGGGAAGTGCTGGGTGAGATCCCATGGACAGTAATACTAAAAGGAAAGGGAGTTCATGATGGCTGGGAGTTTGTTAAGAGGGAGATACTAAAAGCACAACGTCAGGCAATACCAATGAGACAGAAACATGGAAGGTGCCTAAAGAAGCCAGGGTGGCTATCTAAAGAACTTTTAACTGAGTTAAGATTAAAAAAGGATGTGTACAAAAATGGAAAAGGGGAAACCACCAAAGAGGAATTCAAACAAATAGCCAGCACATGTAGACACAAAGTCAGAAAAGCTAAAGCACAGAATGAACTCAGGCTTGCTAGAGAGGTTAAAAGCAACAAAAAAGGCTTTTATGGGTATGTCCGTAGCAAAAGGAAGAACAAAGAAACAGTGGGGTCACTCAGAGGAGAAGATGGTGAAATGCAAACAGGGGACACAGAAAGAGCTGAACTCCTCAATGCCTTCTTTGCCTCAGTCTTCTCCGATAAAGAAAAAAATGCCCGACCTGAAGAATTTGGAGCAAATGATTCAGCAAAGGAAACACAGCCCAGAATAACTAAGGAGATAGTACAAGAATACTTGGCTAGTTTAGATGTATTCAAGTCTCCAGGGCCAGATGAACTGCATCCAAGAGTATTAAAAGAACTGGCAGATGTGATCTCAGAACCACTGGCAGTCATCTTTGAGAATTCCTGGAGAACAGGTGAAGTCCCGGCAGACTGGAGGAGGGCAAATGTTGTCCCTATTTTCAAAAAGGGGAAAAGAGAGGACCCAAATAATTACCGCCCAGTCAGTCTGACATCAATACCAGGGAAGATTCTGGAGCAGATCATTAAGCAAACAGTCTGTGAGCACCTAGAAAGGAATGCTGTGATCACCAATAGTCAGCATGGATTTCTGAAAAATAAGTCATGTCAGACTAACCTGATCTCATTTTTGACAGAATTACAAGCCTGGTAGATGAAGGGAATGCAGTGGATGTAGCCTACCTTGATTTCAGCAAGGCATTTGACAAGGTGCCTCATGATATTCTTGTAAAGAAGCTGGTAAAATGTGGTCTTGACTATGCTACCACTCAGTGGATTTGTAACTGGCTGACTGACCGAACCCAAAGGGTGCTCATCAATGGTTCCTCTTCATCCTGGAGAAGAGTGACTAGTGGGGTGCCACAGGGTTCTGTCTTGGGCCCGGTCTTATTCAACATCTTTATCAACGACTTGGATGATGGACTCAAGGGCATCCTGATCAAATTTGCAGATGACACCAAATTGGGAGGGGTGGCTAACACCCCAGAGGACAGGATCACACTTCAAAACGACCTTGACAGATTAGAGAACTGGGCCAAAACAAACAAGATGAATTTTAACAGGGAGAAATGTAAAGTATTGCACTTGGGCAAAAAAAATGAGAGGCACAAATACAAGATGGGGGACACCTGGCTTGAGAGCAGTACATGTGAAAAGGATCTAGGAGTCTTGGTTGACCACAAACTTGACATGAGCCAACAGTGTGACGCAGCAGCTAAAAAGGCCAATGCAATTCTGGGCTGCATCAATAGGAGTATAGCATCTAGATCAAGGGAAGTAATAGTGCCACTGTATTCTGCTCTGGTCAGACCTCACCTGGAGTACTGTGTCCAGTTCTGGGCACCACAGTTCAAGAAGGACATTGACAAACTGGAGCGTGTCCAGAGGAGGGCAACCAAAATGGTCAAAGGCCTGGAAACGATGCCTTATGAGGAACGGCTAAGAGAGCTGGGCATGTTTAGCCTGGAGAAGAGGAGGTTGAGGGGTGATATGATAGCCATGTTCAAATATATAAAAGGATGTCACATAGAGGAGGGAGAAAGGTTGTTTTCTGCTGCTCCAGAGAAGCGGACACGGAGCAATGGATCCAAACTACAAGAAAGAAGATTCCACCTAAACATTAGGAAGAACTTCCTGACAGTAAGAGCTGTTCGACAGTGGAATTTGCTGCCAAGGAGTGTGGTGGAGTCTCCTTCTTTGGAGGTCTTTAAGCAGAGGCTTGACAACCATATGTCAGGAGTGCTCTGATGGTGTTTCCTGCTTGGCAGGGGGTTGGACTCGATGGCCCTTGTGGTCTCTTCCAACTCTATGATTCTATGATTCTATGATTCATTGCTTCAACACTGGAGATCTTTGCTTCTTCCCGTACACTGGCATTAGTTCGCCTGTCTTCCCAAGTGATGTGTAAAATTTTCCAGAGGCACCATTGATGGAATCTTTCAAGGAGTTGGAGATGGCGTTTATAAGTGGTCCATATTTCAGCATTTATAAGTGGTCCATATTTCACAAGCATACAGTAAGATTGGTAGTACAGTAGCTTTGTAAACAAACATTTTGGTTTCCCTGCAAATGTCCTGATCCTCAAACACTCTGCACTTCAATCGGGAGAAAGCCGGACTCGCAGTACAACAGCCCTGTAGGGTAGTCCAGTATGGCAAGGTGGGACGATCAACCCTGGTCACACCCCACACACCCAACCCTGGGATGCCATGAGTCAACATCTTGGGCTGCCTGCCCAAACACGACGAGAATTGCCACATCGCTATGGCTATGTCAAAAAGCAGAAGGAAAATGAGCTTTGTCTACTGAATTGCAGGTGGCAACATTTCCTGGGGGAGGGCTGGGCGGCCCGTGCGAGGCAGCCTTGACTGGCATCTTGGGTAAAGAGTCACACGATATTTGGGTTGCACCTGACGGCAGTTCCCCCCTCTGTGTCCTTTCCACTCCCTCCCCTAATTCCCTGCCTCTCGTTCCCCCCTACTGATTTTAGGAAGGGGGCCGAAAGAGGACTTAGGATGCTACCTGTGGAATGAGGAACAGGTGCCTGGACCAGTGGCTTAAATTCTTTTTATATATATATAAATTTTTATTAGTTTTTTCACATATCATTTTCAACAGTAATTAAACATACTTTTACATCTTATTCAGTTTTTTTTTACTTCTATCAGTCCAGTCTGAAAATTTCCCAATCTAATCTCTTAGTGTGCATTTCTTATCTTTCCTATTACATTTCAAACTCATAGCCAATATCTCTATCTTTTCCTACTTTGTAACACTTCGTATATTTCTCCTTACAAAACTTCTTGTAGTCCTACTAGCGTAATTTGTTGATTGCAGTTGCTCTTCAAATAATTCATATACTTCTTCCACTCTTCTGTATAGTGGGTTCACACCATATTCACACCATACATTTAAAGCGCGATCAGGGCCGGACTGAGGTTTGATGAGGCCCTCAGCTACTGAAGGTAACGGGACCCTTTATATGTCCAGCTGTCCTTTGTCAACAACAAATTGTTGCTGCTTTTTTTGTTGAATATATGCTATATGGAAATTTATGGACACTCATAGGTGTCATGCCAGCGCAGAAGCAATTTTCAGCGTCTGGGCATGTGCAGAAGTGATTTCCGCACCGCGGACAAGTGCAGACGTGATTTCCGACATCTGCGCATGCGCAGAAGCGATTTCCAGAGCTGTGGAAGAGAGTCCCCGTGCCGCACTGCACCGGTTTAGCGCAGCGCACCAGGATTCGCCGAGCGGGCGGCTCGGTTCTGGAGCGGCTTGTGGGCCAGTTAAATGGCCTCTGGGTCACTTCCAGCCTATGGGCTGCACGTTGCCGACCCCTGAGCCAAATCCATGAAGTTTGTTGTAGAATCGCAGAGTTGGAAGGGAGGAGGAGACTCATCCAGCCCAACTCCCTGAAGTGCAGTGAACGTTTGCGCAACACAGGACTCGAATCCACGCCCTTGAGATTAAGAGTCCCATGCTCCACCAGCTGAGCTGTCGTGAATGGTTTTAGTTTATTGGTATTTCTTTTTTTAAAAAAATCACAATTAAACTTACCATAAAACATAAAGCCATCTAGCCGTCTCAGCCTCCTGTGGAAGGGAGTTCCATAAGTTAACATAAGAACATCAGAAGAGACTTTGGCATCAGCCCATGGTTTCCAGCAACTTTGTGGAGGTAGAGAACATACCCTCCAACATGTATTTGATGAAAACAGGGACGTCCTAAGGAAAAGCGGGACATTCCAGGATCAAATCAGAAACCGGGACGGCTTCTTTAAATCCGGGACTGTCCCTGAAAAATAGGGCACTTGGAGGGCAGTGAGGGCATAGCGATTTCTGTACTCCATGCCATATATCCTTAAATATGCCACCTTAATTCCCTTCTGCTTGGGACCCATGGAATCTCTCGCTGCCCTGAGACTGGGGTGCTGTGTTGCAATATCTATACAGTGGCACCTTGGTTCTCAAACTTAATCTGTTCCGGAAGTCCGTTCCAAAACCAAAGCGTTCCAAAACCGAGTCATGATGCTTTCCCATGGAAAGCAATGCAAAACGGATCGATCCGTTCCCGGCTTTTGAAAACAACCCCTACAAGAGCAATTGAACATAGATTTTGCTATCTAACGAGACCATCGATCCATGAAATGAAAGCAATAAACAATGTACTGCAGTCACAAAATCAATCAATCAATCAATCAGTAACTGAACTGAGTTCCATACAGTCACAAAAACGAAACAAAAAGAGCCGCAAAAACACAAACGCAAAATAAATAGCAAAAACAGACAGACCTCAGCGTAACACTCAAAACAGAGCATGCTCGGCTTCCGAAAAAAGTTTGCAAAATGGAACACATACTTCCAGGTTTGCAGTGTCCGAATACCAAGGCGTTTGAGAACCAAGGCACCACTGTATAATTATTTCCCCCTGGATTTCATCTCTCCGGCTGAGACGGCTCGCAAACCGTCGCCTTGAACTGGAGACCCCACCTTTCGTGGCTCCAAGAGCTGAAATCACTGTAACATAAAAGAATGTTAGGAAAGGTTGGAGAAGAAATATTAGACCGTATTGGCAGACAGAGTATAATGGAATTAAGTAAATATGAAGTGTAAATTAAAGGATAGAGGAGAATTAAATATTTTTGAATGTTAAAATGTTAAAATAAGTGAATGAAAAGAAGGTTAGAAGGATTTGCTGGAGATACAATTTGAATTAGAATACAAAGCAGAGAAGTGTGAGGAAGTCACGGAAATAAGTAAATGGGAATACGGTTTGTTAAATTTGAATTCTTTTTTGTTATTTTTTATTGTGATTTTTGGTCTTGTGTATTTTTCTTTTTCTTTTTTTCCTTGTATGGTGTGTATCTTTTGTAAGATGTATGTGACTGGTTTTCTTGTTTTGTTTTTTCTTTTTTTTTTGTAATCTTAAAACTTGAATAAATATTCTTAAAAAAAAAAAAAAAAAAAAACAAGAGCTGAAATCATAATCCTCTGAGACCCGGCGGAGTCTAATTAGCAGGGGAGAATGAGATGTTCTCTAGGAAATCTTCCCCGCTGGCAGAGACGCTGCAGTTTGTTTACCAAGCCTGGCATCGGAGAGACCCAAAAGCAGAGCAAGGTGCCAACTTGGGAGCCCCAGGGAATCTTCAACGGCTGCTGGAAAAACCTACAGAGCAGAAATAAAATGCCAGGCAGTGAATTGCGATTGAAGAAGGCAGGGTGACTTCACACCAACGTTGGAAGCACCCAGGGAGGAGAGAGAAGAGGGGGCGGATCTTGGCCAAATGTGGACCCCAAGGCCTCTCATAAGACGGGAAGAGGGTGCTGGATCAGGCCAATGGCCCATCTAGTTCAGCATCCTGTTCTCACAAGCAGGATCCGAGCACAAGAGTTGGAAGGGGTTCCCAGGGTCATCCAGTCCAACCCGCTTTGCGGTGGCTGCGACGGGCAGTGGTGAAATCATCAAGCCTGATGAAGAACGGTTGAAGGAGCTGGGTAGGTTTTGCCTGGAAAAGAGGAGACCGGGAGGAGATTCATATCTGAATGAGGAGTCTTCTTCTGATATGTGATGGGGTTGCCGCATGGGAGAGGGAGCAAGCTGGTTTGCTCCTGCTCTGGAGGGTAGGATTCGAACCCGTGGCTTCAAGTTAGAAGAAAGGAGGTTCCAGCTGAACATCACTTTCTGATGGGAAGGGCTGTTTGACCGTGGGGTGGGAGGCAGTGGGCTCTCCTTCCTTGGGGGTTTTTAAGCAGAGGTTGGGTCATGGATGTTTCAGTTGAGATTCCTGCATTGAAGCGGGTTGGTCTAGATGACCCTCAGGAGCCCTTCTAACTCTACAGTTCCATGGTTCTAGGATTAAGTGGTCTGCCAAGACCCTTGGGAGCCTGCAAGTGGTCTATGGAGGGGGAAGCGTTTGGAAACCACGGACCTGATTTTTGCGTGTCGGAAATGCAGCTTGTAGGACGTTAACTCAGAGTCCCAACCTTTGTTCTGCCCTGCCTGGAAGGCTCTCCTTCAAGGCTCAAAAGGCTGACGCATCCCTAGCTTAGAAGAAGTCACATCCTTTGACCTGGATTTCTTCTTTATTGGGGTGGTGGTTCGTCCAGTGATTAAAAGGCTGCAAGGCAACGGCTCTTCCTGTGATTCTTTTAATTACGCCAGCCTGAAAATGTAGAATCAGAGAATTTGATTGGGCTTTGGCAAGAGGAAGTGAGTCAACCAGAAAAACAGCGAGTCGGACTTGTTCTCTGGCACACGACACCAGCCTAATAAAGACTCCTCTCTCCCCAGAGCTAGAAACAGGATTTATTCCACCCTGCTCCAACCACTGGACAACACTGCCTCTTCCAGAGCTGAGAAGAGGTCCAGGGAGTTTGCCTCCATCCGGCCATCTACTTGAGCAAAGCAGAAATCTGCTGCAGCGAATCAGTGGTAAGGACCTCCTTTTGCTCCTGTTTGGATGGGAGAGAGACTAAAAGGACAGGGTTCTAACTAGGGCTGGGAGATACTTGGTTTTCAACCAGATCACAATCTAAACGTCACAATATACAGATATATCACAATATCTGAAAAAAGGATGGAACTGTGTACAGTGGTACCTTGGTTGTCAAACGGATTGGCTTCCGAACAAATCGGTTCCCGAATGCCACAAACCCGGAAGTGAGTGTTCCGGTTTGGGAACATTTTTTTGGAAGCTGAACGTCTGACGCGGCTTCCGATTGAGAGCAGGCAGCTCCTGCAGCCAATCGGAAGCCGCGCCTTGGCTTTCGAACTCCCAGAACAGATTACGTTTGACAGCCAAAGTCCCACTGTACTCATTTTTACATCCTTGAGATATCAATGACTTCCCTTCTTCTCCATGGTTCATTTTACATATCATGTTGTTGTCGTTTAGTCGTTTAGTCGTGTCCGCCTCTTCGTGACCCCCTGGACCAGAGCACGCCAGGCGCTCCTGTCTTCCACTGCCTCCCGCAGTTTGGTCAAACTCATGCTGGTAGCTTCGAGAACACTGTCCCACCATCTCGTCCTCTGTCGTCCCCTTCTCCTTGTGCCCTCCATCTTTCCCAACATCAGGGTCTTTTCCAGGGAGTCTTCTCTTCTCATGAGGTGGCCAAAGTCTTGGAGCCTCAGCTTCAGGATCTGTCCTTCCAGTGAGCACTCAGGGCTGATTTCCTTCAGAATGGATAGGTTTGATCTTCTTGCAGTCCATGGGACTCTCCAGAGTCTCCTCCAGCACCAGAATTCAAAAGTATCCATTCTTCAGCGATCAGCCTTCTTTATGGTCTAGCTCTCACTTCCTCTCACTTCCATACATCACTATTTACATATCATAAATCCCTGCATATTTTACAAAAACTACACCATTCAGTATTCCATTACTGTATCCATCAAAACTTGTTTACACTGTTGAATTTATCTTAATGCTGCCAGCGTTTTCCGCTGTACACAATTATTTCCCATATATTCAATACAGTAAATTGTTTTCCAATCTCCTCTAAACGTACGTTCTTCTTGTTCTCTTATTCTATATGTTAAGTCTGCAAGTTGCGCCTATTCTGTCATCTTAAGTTGCCATTCTTCTTTGGTTGCTCATTTTCCCTTTTTTGGGCTAACAAAACATGGGCCGCAGTAGCAGCACACATAAACAACCTTTTCCGACACCTGGGAATTTCACTTTGAATGTATTGGGAAAATTTTTAATGCCTAATGTTTTGCAATTTTTTTATGCGCTGTAAGCATCCCAGAGTGGCTGGGGAAACCCAGCCAGGTGGGCGGAGTATAAATAATAAAATTATTATTATTTAGAGGGGCTGGGAGCTGGGGGCACTGTTATACAGTGGTTCTGCTCCTTCCTCCTGGGCTGTGTGCAGAAAGTGGTGTTGGGGGATGAGTGTTCAGACCCATGGACTCTCACTTGTGGGGCCCCTCAGGGTTCTGTCCTCCCCCCCATGCTTTTCAACATCTACATGAAGCCGCTGGGAGAGATCATCAGGGGGTTTGGGCTGGGTGTCCATCAATATGCGGATGATACCCAGCTCTACCTCTCTTTCAAATCAGAACCAGTGAAGGCGGTGAAGGTCCTGTGTGAGTGCCTGGAGGCGGTTGGAGGATGGATGGCGGCTAACAGATTGAGGTTGAATCCTGCAAGATAGAACTACTGTTCTTGAGGGACTAAGGGCGGGCTGGTGTGGAGGACTCCCTGGACCTGAATGGGGTAACTGTGCCCCTGAAGGACCAGGTGCACAGCCTGGGAGTCATTTTGGACTCACGGCTGTCCATGGAGGTGCAGGGCCATTCTGTGTCCAGGGCAGCTGTCTCCCAGCTCCATCTGGTACGCAGGATGAGACCCTATCTGCCCACAGACTGTCTTGCCAGAGTCTTGCATGCTCTGGTTATCTCCTGCTTGGACTACTGCAATGCACTCTACGTGGGGCTACCTTTGAAGGTGACCCGGAAACTACAACTAATCCAGAATGCAGCAGCTAGACTGGTAACTGGGAGCAGCCGCCGAGACCACATAACATCGGTCCTGAGAGACCTACATTGGCTCCCAGGACGTTTCTAAGCACAATTCAAAGCGTTGGTGCTGACCTTGAAAGCCCTAAACGGCCTCAGTCCAGTATACCTGAAGGAGCGTCTCCACCCCCATCGTTCTGCCCGGACACTGAGGTCCAGCTCCAAGGGCCTTCTGGCTGTTCCCTCCCTGCGAGAAGCCAAGTTACAGGGAACCAGGCAGAGGGCCTTCTCGGTAGTGGCACCTGCCCTGTGGATCACCCTCCCACCAGATGTCAAAGAGAAAGACAACTACCAAACTTTTAGAAGACATCTGAAGGCAGCCCTGTTTAGGGAAGCTTGGATTGTTTAATAGGTTATTGTATTTTAGTGTTTTGTTGGAAGCCGCCCAGAGTGGCTGGGGAAACCCAGCCAGGTGGGCACGGTATAAATAAATAAATAAATAAATAATTCACAAATGCCCCCCTGTCCCCCATCTGCCCCACGCAGGTCTCCAGCCATGGGGAGCCCCGGCGAGCCGCTGAGCCGCTTCTGGCGCTGGTACATCTACGCCATCCACGGCTACTTCTCGGAAGTGATGTTCACGGCCGCCTGGTCCTTTGTGGTGGACCGGGACTGGAAGTTCCAGGGGGTGACCAGCGTGTGGGCCCTCTTCATCTACGGGACCTGCGGCCTGGCCCTCGAGCGCCTCTACGTCCTGCTCAAGGGCCGCAGCTTCCTGGTGACCCGCTGCGCCATCTACACCCTGTGCATCTACCTCTGGGAGTTCTCCACCGGTTATGCGCTGCAATGCTTCAACGCCTGCCCCTGGGACTACAGCCACTACCGGTACAACTTCATGGGTCTCGTGACCCTGGAATATTGCCTCTTCTGGTTCGTCGGCGCCCTCCTCCTGGAGAAAATCGTCATCCGCAACGCCCTGAGGCTCAGGCTGGATCCGGCCAGTAGCATCCAGGGGCGCCCCTTCCCCAGGTTCGAACTAAAAGACGACTGAGTTCGGGGTAACTCAGGATGGAGAGAAAACCAGGGAGATTTAAGATTCCGGACAGTAAAACTCCATCCTTTTCTTCCTCTGGGCAAATCTGCGGAGGGGACAGCTAACACAATGGCCACACTCTTCCTCCACGGTCAAGCGATGCTCCTGAAGGCCCGTTGCTGGAAGCCGCAGGCGGGAAGAGTTGTTCTCGCACTCAGGTCCCACTTCCGGGTTTCCGGTGGGTTGGCCACAGGGTGTTGGGTTGGCTGGGCCCCTGAAATATACTCGGAGTCGAGAGTGGATTTCATGCTCTTTATTCAGCTCATAGTGGTGAGGAGGAATGGAAGTTCCCCCAGAATGTCTGCCTTATATACATTATTTACACAATGGGCCCCACATGTTTGGCTAATTCCGGGATTTTCCTGTAGGCCAATCAGATTGCGGATTCACTTCCACCTGGAGCTGGATTGGGTGGCTCCTGTGGACCAATCAGACTGCTGCATTCTGAATCCTATTGTTCTAGGACCAACCAGACTGCTGCATTTAGGATCCTATTCAACTCAGTACATAACAGCCCGGACCCAACAGGCTTTTTCTTCTTCTTTGCAATATACCCCAAGCCTTGCTTTCCCTCCTTGCATCTGAACTCCTCCGACTTTGAGTTTGAGCCATGGGTTCGAATCCTCCTCCGCCAGCCACTGGGTGACCCTGGACTCTGGTGACGGTCTCCCGCTTTCACCTACCTCACAGGGTTATTGTGAGAAGGTGGTGGCAAATGCCGCGATCCTGGAGCCGTGGCGGAAAGGGGTCTCGCGGGATCGGAAGGATCGAACTCTAACTACTGAGCCACAGCTGTCCCCCTGGGATCATAGACTTGCAAGCGTTTCAACCCCCTCGTACAATGAGCTAGTCTCTCAGCAAATAGCAACACTGGGAGCTGGGTCTGTTTAGCTCATATTGTCAACACTGGGCAGCGTCGGATCTGCAGGAGTTCAGCGGGAGACTTTTCCAGCCCTGCCTGGGGATTTCTTTTTATTTCTATTTATTTATTAAATATGCTGCTGTGGAATGAATTTGAGTCCTGTTCCTGCGTGCGCAGCAGTCGCAACACCCCTGATTCGCGGCTCGCCCCCTAAAAATATACCAAGATGCCAGATTCTGAATAAAGGGATGGTTTAATAGACACACGGGAAGCGACCTTAGAGCAAACCAATCCATTGGTCCATGTGCCTCACTACGGTCTACTCTGACTGGCACATGGCTGTCAACCGTCCCTTATTTGGCGGGAAAGTCCCTTATCCCAGCGCCGTGTCCCGCTGCTATCCCTTATTGATGGTGTCCCTTAAATTTCCCGGATTTCAAAAGAAGCAGCTCCTCTCCCTCCCTCCCTCCCTGCCGGCCAGGGAGGAGGGAGGCTCCAACTGTATTGCTCAGCCAATAAGGAGTCTAAGAACGACTGGGGGGTGGAGCTTGCATGCCTTGTGCCGATCAAATCAGCCGCGTTGCCTGGGGACTTGCCTTTGCTCAGCGCTTCCCAGCGGAGAGGTGACGGTGGTTTTCCTTGCTGCATCCCCTTTGCCGGGTTGCTGCGCTGTGGGACCACCGCTTGAGGCTTCGTTTGGCTGCTGGTTGAGTAAAATCCCTTATTTTGGCTGCTGATCCCTTATTTTCGAGGCTGCTGATCCCTTATTTTCATATCTGTAAGTTGACAGCTATGGACTGGCAACAGCTCCCCAGGTTTCCATGCAAAGCAGTTGCTCTAACACTAAGCCACAACCTTTGCCCAAAGTGCCCACACCAAGGTTTCCCAACCTGGCTCACTGTTTTTGGACTACCCATTCATTCCTGGGTACTGTTCCTGCCAGCAAGGGATGATGGGAGTTGTAGTCCAGAAACAGCTGGAGAACCAAGTTTGGGGAAATCTGGCCTGCACAATTGACTCCTGTGGCTTATTTCAAATCAGAACCAATAAAGGTGGTGAAGGTCCTGTGTGAGTGTCTAGAGGCGGTTGGAGGATGGATGGCTGCTAATGAATTGAGGTTGAATCCTGACAAGACAGAATTCTGTTTTGGGGGGACAGGGGGCGGGCAGGTGTGGGGGATTCCCTGGTCCTGAATGGGGTAACTGTGTCCCTGAAGGACCAGGTGCGCAGCCTGGGAGTCATTTTGGACTCACAGCTGTCCATGGAGGCACAGGTCAATTCTGTGTCCAGGGCAGCTGTTTACCAGCTCCATCTGGTACGCAGGATGAGACCCTCCCTGCCCGCGGACTGTCTCACCAGAGTGGTGCATGCTCTGGTTATCTCCCTCTTGGACTACTGCTATGCGCTCTATGTGGAGGTACCTTTGAAGGTGACCCGGAAACTTCAATTAATCCAGAATGCGGCAGCTAGACTGGTGACTGGGAGCGGCTGCCGAGACCGTATAACACCGGTCTTGAAAGACCTACATTGGCTCCCAGTATGTTTCCGAGCACAATTCAAAGTGTTGGTGGTGACCTTGAAAGCCCTAAACGGCCTCAAAGGCCCAGTAGACCTGAAGGAGCGTCTCCACCTCCATCGTTCTGCCCGGACACTGAGGTCCAGCGCCAAGGGCCTTCTGGTGGTTCCCTCCCTGCGAGAAGCCAAGTTACAGGGAACCAGGCAGAGGGCCTTCTCAGTGGTGGCACCCGCCCTGTGGAACGCCCTCCCGTCAGATGTCAAAGAGAACAAAAACTACCTGACATTTAGAAGACATCTGAAGGCAGCCCTGTTCAGGGAAGTTTTTTATGTGTGACATTTTAATGTGTTTTTAGGCTTTGTTGGAAGCCCCCCAGAGTGGCTGGGGAAACCCAGCCAGATGGGTGAGTTTCCCCAGCCACTCTGGGCGGCTTCTAATCAAGTGTTAAAAACAATACAGCTTTAAATATTAAAAACTTCCCTGAACAGGGCTGCCTTCAGCTGTCTTTTAAAGATAGGATAGCTGCTTATTTCCTTCACATCTGAAGGGAGGGCGTTCCACAGGGCGGGCGCCACCACCAAGAAGGCCCTCTGCCTGGTTCCCTGTAACCTCACTTCTCGCAATGAGGGAAACGCCAGAAGGCCCTCAGCGCTGGGTATAAATAATAAATTATTATTATTGTTATTATTTGCACTCCCGCCATGGGCAGCCTCCAGTTCCTTCCCGAAGGAGCTCTTGAAGCTACGTTGTGGGAGGGTGGGGGGTTTGGAGTGGCTCAGGACCCCCCCATCCTGCCTGTCCGGGCCCTTGGTCGGTCCAGCCCTCCATCCTCTCAAGTCAACAGTGTCACTGCACAACCAGGTCCAGGGATGAGTGTTTGGGCCTTTCTGACTCACACCAGAAAATTCACAGGGTAACCTTATGGTATTACCCGGAAAAGGGGAGAGAAATGTCCCATGGGTGCCAGCTGCAATTGTTTGAAGGGGTAAGGCAGGCATAGGCAAACTCGGCCCTCCAGATGTTTTGGGACTACAACTCCCATCGTCCCTAGCTAACAGGACCAGTGGTCAGGGATGATGGGAATTGTAGTCCCAAAACATTTGGAGGGCCGAGTTTGCCTATGCCTGGGGTAAGGGGTAGAGGTGGCAATCCAGACACCCAAATAAAACACACCTGACTGAAAATCCGGACTGTTTGCAGTAAAGAAAGTGACAGGGGGAAGCGTGAAATAACGCCTGCTTTGATGCAACGTCATCTAACATATCCCCACAAACAAATCAGTGCAAGTGCTCAATGAGCAGGCCATCTGGAAGCATCCTCCTTCGACCCAAGCCTACATTTAAAAATAAAATCAGAAAGTCTAAAGGGCTCGAGGATGAGCGAGTTCGGCAAACAGGCTGCCTGTGCTTCTTCAGCCATCCAGCAGAGGGAGCTGTTGCTGCACTTTGAGAGCAGGTGAGGTGGTCCAGCGATGATGCGTTTTGCAGGACCGGGAAGTTTTGCAAGCGCTGCAAAAAAAGTTGGTTTATTTCATTTGCAGAGTCATGCTCTCTTGGCTTGCAGCTTCCACAGGCAACTTATGCACACAGGCCAGGAAAACACACACATTCCACCCCCCACCTTTTAACCCTGCACGTAGCCAGGACTTTTGCATATCAAATCTGCATTTTCGGAGCAGAAGGCAAAGAATAGCATTGTGACCCAGAAGCAGGCAAACACACATTTCAGGAATTTGGAGTGCCGGCATGCCGCTGGATGAAGCGCTGCAACAGGAGAGACTGCACACAATTATAATAATTGTTGTTTAGTCGTGTCTGACTCTTCATGACCCCCTGGACCAGAGCACGCCAGGCACTCCTGTCTCCCACTGCCTCCCGCAGTTTGGTCAAACTCATGCTGATAGCTTCGAGAACACTGTCCCACCATCTCGTCCTCCGTCGTCCCCTTCTCCTTGTGCCCTCCATCTTTCCCAGCATCAGGGTCTTTTCCAGGGAGTCTTCTCTTCTCATGAGGTGGCCAAAGTCTTGGAGCCTCAGCTTCAGGATCTGTCCTTCCAGTGAGCACTCAGGGCTGATTTCCTTCAGAATGGAGAGGTTGGATCTTCTTGCAGTCCATGGGACTCTCAAGAGTCTCCTCCAGCACCAGAATTCAAAATCATCCATTCTTCAGCGATCAGCCTTCTTTATGGTCCAGCTCTCACTTCCATACATCACTACTGGGAAAACCATGGCTTTTACTATACGGACCTTTGTTGGCAAGGTGATGTCTCCATTTTTTAAGATGCTGTCTAGGTTTGTCACTGCTTTTGCCCCAAGAAGCAGGCGTCTTTTAATTTCGTGACTGCTGTCACCATCTGCAGTGATCATGGAGCCCAAGAAAGTAAAATCTCCAAATGCCTCCATTTCTTCCCCTTATAATAATTATAATTATGATTAATTGGGTTCTGATTATGGGCTTCTCGGAAGAGGCATCTGGGCGGCCGCTGTGAGAAGAGGATAGTGGACCAGGTGGGCCACAGAGACCTGATGCTGCAAGCCTATTTCTGTGTTCTTGTGACTTCAGTGTGAGGCACAGCTATGGAAATGTAGATTGCACAAAAACACACAAACCCCAGACTCTCCAAGCGTCCCTATTTTCCAGTGACAGTCCCGGATTTACGGAAGCCGTCCTGGTTTTTGATTTGATCCTGGAATGTCCCACTTTTCATTAGGACGTCCCTATTTTCATCAAATAAATGTTGGAGGATATAGAGTTATGGGACCTCCCAATCCAAGGAGATACCGTATTTTTCGCTCTATAAGACGCACCAGACCACAAGACGCACCTAGTTTTTGGAGGAGGAAAACAAGAAAAAAAATATTCTGAATCTCAGAAGCCAGAACAGCAAGAGGGATCGCTATGCAGTGAAAGCAGCAATCCCTCTTGCTGTTCTGGCTTCTGGGATAGCTGCGCAGCCTGCATTCGCTCCATAAGACGCACACACATTTCCCCTTACTTTTTAGGAGGGTAAAAGTGAGTCTTATAGAGCAAAAAATACAGACCAGCAACCTTTAGAAGTCATCTGAAGGCAGCCCTGTATAGGGAAGTTTTTAAATTCTGGGCACCACAGTTCAAGAAGGACACTGACAAACTGGAACGTGTCCAGAGGAGGGCAACCAAAATGGTCAAAGGCCTGGAAACGATGCCTTATGAGGAACGGCTAAGGGAGCTGGGCATGTTTAGCCTGGAGAAGAGGAGGTTAAGGGGTGATATGATAGCCATGTTCAAATATATAAAAGGATGTCACATAGAGGAGGGAGAAAGGTTGTTTTCTGCTGCTCCAGAGAAGCGGACACGGAGCAATGGATCCAAACTACAAGAAAGAAGATTCCACCTAAACATTAGGAAGAACTTCCTGACAGTAAGAGCTGTTTGACAGTGGAATTTGCTGCCAAGGAGTGTGGTGGAGTCTCCTTCTTTGGAGGTCTTTAAGCAGAGGCTTGACAACCATATGTCAGGAGTGCTCTGATGGTGTTTCCTGCTTGGCAGGGGGTTGGACTCGAAGGCCCTTGTGGTCTCTTCCAACTCTAGGATTCTATGATTCTATAAATGTTTGATTTTGTGTTTATATATGTTGGGAGAGTGGCTGGGGCAAACCAGTCAGATGGGTGAGGTATTATTTTTATTAATATCATTATATAGAGGTAAAGGGACCCGTGACTATTAGGTCCAGTCGTGACCAACTTTGGGGTTGCGGCGCTCATCTCGCTTTACTGGCCAAGGGAGCCGGCGTACAGCTTCCGGGTCACGTGGCCAGCATGACTAAGCCGCTTCTGGCGAACCAGAGCAGCGCACGGAAACACCGTTTACCTTCCCGCCGGAGCGGTACCTATTTATCTACTTGCACTTTGACGTGCTTTCGAACTGCTAGGTTGGCAGGAGCTGGGACCGAGAAACAGGAGCTCACCCCGTCGTGGGGATTTGAACCGCCAACTTTCTGATCGGCAAGTCCTAGGCTCTGTGGTTTAGACCACAGTGCCACCTGCGTCCCTTATTATTATATAGGACGTCCCTATTTTTGTCAGAGAAATGTTGGAGGGTGTCAAACCCTGTGAAGTACTGTATACTTTATCCAAGCCTGAGTGTTGGCTTATTTGAATCTATAGCAGATGTTTCAGGGAGATTTGGAGTGGGGGAAAGTTCCCATTCATCCCTCTTGGAGCTCTTCCCACTTTTTAAAGGAGAACAAAAGGTCTTTCTTAAAAGGGGGAGGGAAATCCCATCGCCTGCCATGTACTGCAAGGCTGCCGGAGATTCTCAAACCCTCTCCCCAAAGCCTTTCTGCCCTGCTCCACCCCCCACCACCAAGGCATAATTTCGTGGGAACTGCCCAAGGTTACACAGCCCAACAGGCAGCCTGGGAGAGGAAGGGTTAAACAGAGCAACCCCTCTCGCCCGACCCAAGTCTATGGATAATAATAATAATAATAATAATAATTATTATTATTATTATTATTTATTTATTCCCTGCCCACTCTGGGCAGCTTCCAACAAAATATTAAAATACAGTAATGCATCAAACATTAAAAGCTTCCCTAAACAGGGCTGCCTTCAGATGTCTTCTAAATGTCAGGTAGTTGTTTTTCTCTTTGACATCTGGTGGGAGGGTGTTCCACAGGGCGGGTGCCACTACCGAGAAGGCCCTCTGCTTGTAATCTCACTTCTTGCAGGGAAGGAACCGCCAGAAGGCCCTTGGCGCTGGACCTCAATGGCCGGGCTAAACGATGGGGGTGGAGACGCTCTTTCAGGTATACTGGGCTGAGGCCATTTAGGATCCCCTTAAGCAGGGCTGGAAGGCCCTGGACTATCCATGGACAAAGAAAGGGGGCTCTGGGAAGTGGGGGGAGACGCTGACACCTACCCAAGAGCTCCATTGGTGGAAGGATCGTGTTATAAGAAAAAACTTCGCCATTATCCCTTATGGGTTGTCCAAAAGAGCCCATATAGAGTCCTTAAGTAGGTCCCCCATCTGTAGGAAAAAATAGCAGAGGCCACCCGGAGAATATTGTTCCCCCCATAAGGGAATAAGGGCAGATTTTCGTTTATTACGCTCTCCTCACTGAGGCTTCAATCAGATATCACCCTTCTGAGATACATAATTCCTTGGGATTCCTTCCACTCTCTAATTTCCAAGCAGGGATGAATATTTCAGGCTTAGGCAGCCAATGTTCCGGCCATCCAGGAAGACCTGGAACCCGACTTGGCTTTCCTCCCCTGAGTTTTAAGTTTGCTAACATGTTTACACAGAGGCACCCAAAGGAGTGGAGCAAAAAAATTGCCCCTCCCTGCAAAACACGTCTAATTATCCCCCTAATTATCAGCAGGTGCCTTTGAAATGGTGTGGAAAGCAAAGCCTCCGTGGGAGGAATTGCCACACCCACAAATCGGGGCGTGGAACGGGAACTTCTCGCCTCACTGCTCCAACCACTAGGCATCATTCCCTTCCGGACCTGGGAAGAGCTCCCTGGAGTTCTCTGCCTCTGAGAAGACCCTGTTTCCCTTCAAGACCGCTGTGGTCCATTTAGAAATATATGAAAACATAGAAATATAGGCAGCAAAGGAAGACCGGTGGGGGAAAGCAGTGATTTTGGGGTAAGTAGCTCGCTTTTGGACTGTTTGCATGGGAGATGGCAGAAAGTGCGGCAGGGTCTGAAACTGACCGATGGATTCCTGTACCGCTTGATATATTAAAAGCATCCCTAAGTGGTGTATAGGGAACGGAAGCAAGCGACAGGCAGCTTGCACAAAATATTGCAAAGATACGCTGTCACAGATAAAAATGTAATGTTCGTGCAAAGTTAATAATAATATATAAATCAATATCCATTCATTTTCCTTTCTGACCCAGCCTCCCTCTCAGCCTCCAAATTCTCTCATCATCATCATAGTCTCTAAACATTGTTCCTGCTGGCTGGTGGGGCTGATGGGAACAAACCCTGAACTCATAGAATCGTAGAATTGTCACAAGGGACCCTCAGGGATCATCCAGCCCAACCCACTGGAGTGCAGAATCCCTGGCAGATGGCCAGCCAACCTCTGTTTAAAAACCTCAACATGCCTTTGTGTGAATATTGTTCATGAAGAACAGGAAGAGGCGTATTTTATTTTATTTTTAAGTGCATTTTAGGTAACGCCATGTGGTCTGGTAACTTGAATTGCTACTCCAGCCAAATGAATGCCGTTGGCAGCAGGTTTAAGAGCAAACAAATGAGAAATTGCCCATACATTGAATGCTCGGCCTTAAGATGCAATGATAGTCAGAGTTTCTGATGCTTTTAAAAGAGGATTGGACAAAGTCACGGAGGAGAGAGAGAAATATATATCCCGTGATGGCTAGTGAACAGATAGGGCAGAGTGGAGCTTCCATGCTCGGAGGGAGTCTATTTGTGAATGCCCATTCCTGGCGGATGGGAATGGAAAGGACTATTTCCTGCTTATGGGCTTTCCTTAAACCACTGAGCCTCTTGGGCTTGCTGATCGGAAGGTCGGTGGTTCAAATCCCCACGACGGGGTGAGCTCCCGTTGCTCGGTCCCAGCTCCTGCCAACCTAGCAGTTCAAAAGCACACCAGTGCAAGTAGATAAATAGGTACCACTCCAGCGGGAAGGTAAATGGAGTTTCCATTCGCTCTGGTTTCCATCACGGTGTCCTGTTGCTCCAGAAGCAGTTTAGTCCTGCTGGCCACATGACCTGGAAAAACTGTCTGTGGACAAACGCCGGCTCCCTTGGCCTGAAAGCAAGATGAGCGCCGCAACCCCACAGTCGCCTTTGACTGGACTTAACCGTCCAGTTGTCCCTTTACCTTTTTGTGTGTAGCCACAGCTGGAAACAGAGTCCTGGGCCGTGATCTGAGCGAGCTCCCTACACGTTCTTCTGAACTGCAGCTGGTGGCAAATCTTGGGGAACCTGTCAGAGGCAGCAGCACCTAGACTGGGTGAGGCAACAGAGTTGTCAGAGCAGTCTAATGGGTGAGGCGACTGTGCAAGCTGGGCAGGATCCAGGAGGAACCCACAGCTTTCGTGTTTCATTAATGGCAAAAGAGCGTGCTTCTAGCCCTCAAAGTTGCAACAATCAAGTTGCAAAACACGGCAATGTGCAGAGCAGAGAGTGAGCGGGGCTTTTAAAAAAATATTATTAATATATATATATATATATATATATATATATATATATATATAAATTTTTAGGTAAAGGTAAAGGGACCCCTGACCATTAGGTCCAGTCGTGACCAACTCTGGGGTTGTGGCGCTCATCTCGCTTTACTGGCTGAGGGAGCCGGCGTACAGCTTCTGGGTCATGTGGCCAGCATGGCTAAGCCGCTTCTGGTGAACCAGAGCAGCGTATGGAAACACCGTTAACCTTCCCGCCGGAGTGGTACCTATTTATCTACTTGCACTTTGACGGGGACTGAGCAACGGGAGCTCACCCCGTCGCAGGGATTCGAACCGCCGACCTTCTGATCGGCAAGCCCTAGGCTCTGTGGTTTAGACCACAGCACCACCCGCGTCCCTATATTATTTTTTACCAACCACCAAAACACAAACAGTGAAGCCCCCCAGGCGGCTGATACATTGGGTATACAATATTCAATAATATACGGTACATATTCAATAATATTCAATAATAACATATTCAAATTAACCATATGTACACTTCTATATACCTTAACACTCCTCCTTCCACAAGGTTTATTTAACTTTTAACATTTTAATTGCCCCAAATTGTTGAAACCTACTCAAATAATTCAATATCTTTCGAACCAATCCTCCTCTTTCTCACTAACCTTAAACCCTTTCATTCTATGTATCTTCACAGTTAGGTATTCTAAAATTATAATATTATTCAGTTTTTCCTTCCACTGGTTCACCCCTAACTCTTCTGCATTTTTCCAATTACTCGCTATAACATGTCTGGCTGCAATTACTATCAATTTTACCCATTTGCATTCCTCTTTTGTTTTTAACTTTGTACTACTCAGGGTAACAAGAACCATCAATTTAGTTATTTCCACGTTCCTTCCCACAATTCCTGATATGTGAGCGGGGCTTTATATGCCACACCGTAGCTCTTCTCCAACTTTCCAGATGTTCTGGACTACAACTCCCATCAGCCTGAGCCAGCAGGGGCTGATGGGAATTGTAGTCCTCAAACCCTGCTTGCAGGTTTTCTAGCCAAGAATCTAGCCAGCCACTGTGCCAAATAGTTCGGCCTGATCCAGCAAATTCCTATGTCCTTATGGAACCTCCAGGTCCAGAGGCAGTCTATCTAGACCCCCAGGTTATTTGGGGTATTCAGCCACTGTCAGAATTGAGCCACTGGCCCCATCTAGCAGGGCTGCTCTTATGTTCTTAGATCTGTGCATTCTGTTGGCTCATATATTGTAAATTTAAGGAGTGCTTGTATATCCACCTGCCTGCTTTTTTAATATACAGTGGTACTTTAGTTCTTAAACTTCCCGTATTTTTCTGTGTATAAGACTAGGTTTTTTCCCTAAAAAATAATGTCAAAAATTAGGGGTCGTCTTATACACGAATATATCTCCCCCCATTTTCTTAAATCTGAGTCCCCCAAAATAGGGGGCGTCTTATACATGGGGGCGACCAATAGACAGAAAAATATGGTAATCTGTTCCGCAAGTCCATTCCAAAACCAAAGTGTTCCAAAACCAAGGCACACTTTCCCATGGGAAGTATTGCAAAATGGATTAATCCATTCCAGACTTTTAAAAACAACCCCTAAAACAGAAAATTAACATGAATTTTACTATCTACCAAGACCATTGATCCATAAAATGGAAGCAATAATCAATGTACTGTACTATAAAATAAATAAGACAGTATTGTAGATGATAAAAATAAAAATAATTATTTTTTTTCTTACCCGCACTGATAATAGTCATTGTTTGGATGGGGGGCTTTTATCCATTTCCACAGTCACACAGTCAATCAGTCAGTAGCTGAACTGGGTTCCACACAGTCACAAAAACAAATTAACCGAAAAAGCCTCAGAAACAAAAATGCAAAATAAAAAGCAAAAAGAAAAGCGCCAAACTTAATCTGTTCCGGAAGTCCGTTTGACTTCTGAAACGTTCGAAAACCAAGGCGCAGCTTCTGATTGGTGCAGACACCCCGGAAACAAAAGCCGACAGCCGCATCGGAAGTTCGGCTTCCGAAAAACGTTCCAAAACCGGAGCACCTACTTCCGGGTGTTCCGAGTTTAAGAACCAAGGCGTTTGAGAACCAAGGTACCACTGTATTGAACTCATGGCTATAACTTATTCCCTTAAATAATTTTTCTAAGCCCCCTGGCACCTTAGCAAGCACTGTCAGAACGTCTGAGGGCTTAACTCTGGCTCAGACGACCATCACTTGAAGATACAGTCAGACCTCAGGATGAACGCGCTTCAGCTGAAATATTTTTGGGTTGCACTGCGCGGCGACCCAGAAGTAATGGAGCGCGTTACTTCCGGGTTTTGCCGCTCGCACATGTCCAGACGCTCAAAATGATGTCACACGCACGCGCGGAAATGGCAAAACGCGACCCGCGCATGCCCAGACGCGCAGTCGCGTCTTACGTTTGCTTCAGGATGCGAATGGGGCCCCGGAATGGATCCCGTTCGCATCCAGAGGTACCACTGTATTTCAAAGTGCAGGGGACCTGCTAGGAAGCCAATCTTGACTAAATTTCAGGAGCAGCTTCCTGATGGAAGCAATCGTTATTTAGCCGAGGAACAGACTCCGTCGGAAAGCGATGGACCCCCCTTTACTGGAGGTCGTTGGGCGGCTACCTGTCTGTGCTTCTTCTGCGTTAATCCCTGTGTTGCAGGTTGGGGTTGGTCTAGATGGCCCCTGGAGGTCCCCTCCCAATTCTTTTCCTTTTTTTTATTCAAAGTTATAACAAGACATATTATCCAAAAACACATCCTTATTCCCCCCCATTTTTCCTCCCTCCCCCCCCCCACAAAACCCACCCCACCCCCTGACTTCCCTCAGTTCCAGTCTTTGGTTCCTCTGCTGTTTTCTGCATGTTACAAAGTTGTATAGATCCTCAAAGTGTTTAGCTGATTATCAGTAAAAAAAATTGTGAATGTTTATTCAAAACCTGCCAAGGAGTCCAGTTCGCTTTGTTGGTCTTCAGATACTCTGTGAAAGGTTCCCATTCATCCTTAAAGTCACAGTTATCCTTGTCCCGTAATTTATGTGTCAATTTTGCCAGTTCTGCGTAGTCCATCAATTTTTCTTGCCATGATTCTTTAGTTGGGGTTTCTTCAGTCTTCCATCCTTGTGCTACCAGAACTCTCGCGGCCGTTGTCGCATACATGAAAATGTTTTTCAACTTTTTTGGCAATTCTTCATTTCCACCACCCTCTGCCTGACAAGCCCCATCTCTTCCTGCGCGCAGGTCGCGGTGAGCCATGGGGCCAGCCCCCGAGCCCCTGAACCCGTTGTGCCGAGCTTACCTCTACGCCTTCCACGGCTACCTCTTGGAAATCCTGTTCACGGCCGTCATCTCGGGCGAGGACTGGGCCTTCGACGGGGCCACCACCTTGCTGTCTTTCTTCGCCTATGGGACCTGTGGCCTGGCGTTGGAGCGCATCTACCTCTGGCTGCGCAATGACTGCTGCCTCCTGACTCGCTGCCTCCTCTACAGCCTCTGCATCTACCTGTGGCAGTTCACGACGGGCTATGCCCTCCGCTGTTTTGGCGCCTGCCCCTGGGACTTCAGCGAGTTCCGCTACAGCTTCCTGGGGATCGTGGCCCTAGAGCACAGCCTCATCTGGTTCGTGGGATCGCTCCTGCTGGAGAAGTGGGTCCTCGCCAACGTGTTGCGGCTCCGTCTGGACGAGCCCTGGAAAGCCAAACCTCGTCCCATGCCCAAATTTGCGCTGAAGGACGACTGACCATCGGCTGGTTTTAAGGAGGAGTATAAAAGAGCGAGGGTCTGGGTGGTGGGACTCCATCCTCCTCCTCCTCTTCCACTTGGACCTATAATCCTCTTTTAAATCCATCTAACAGATGGAGGTTGAATCCTGACAAGAGAGAAGTAGTGTTTTTGGGGAGACAGGAGGCGGGTGGGTGTGGAGGACTCCCTGGTCCTGAATGGGGTAACTCTGCTCCCTGAAGGACCAGATGCGCAGTCAATTTGGACTCACAGCTGTCCATGGAGGTGCAGGTTAATTCTGTGTCCAGGGCAGCTGTCTATCAGCTCCATCTGCTATGCAGGATGAGACCCTCCCTGCCCACGGACTGTCTGGCTAGAGTGGTGCATGCTCTGGTTATCTTCTGCTTCGACTACCGCAATGCGCTCTACGTGGGGCTCCCTTTGAAGGTGACCCTGAAACTACAACTAATCCAGAATGTGGCAGCTGGACTGGTGACTGGGAGCGGCCGCCGAGACCATATAACACCGGTCTTGAAAGACTTACATTGGCTCCCAGGACGTTTCTGAGCACAATTCAAAGTGTTGGTGCTGACCTTGAAAGCCCTAAATGGCCTTGGTCCAGTATACCTGAAGGAGCATCTCCACCCCCATCGTTCTACCCGGACACTGAGGTCCAGCTCCGAGGGCCTTCTGGCGGTTCCCTCCCTGCAAGAAGCCAAGTTACAGGGAACCAGGCAGAGGGCCTTCTCAGTAGTGGCACCCGCCCTGTGGAACACCCGCCCACCAGATGTCAAAGGAAAAAACAACTACCAGACTTTTAGAAGACATCTGAAGGCAGCCCTGTTTAGGGAAGCTTTTAATCTTTGATGTATTACGGTATTTTAATATTTTGTTGGAAGCCGCCCAGAGCGGCTGGGGAAGCCCAGCCAGATGGGTGGGTTATAAATAATAAATTATTATTATATTATTATTATCTAGGTTGGTGGCTATCACTGTTTCCTGTGGCAGTGAGTTCCACAGGAACTACGCGCTGCATCTGGTTGGCCGCTGTGAGGATGCTGGACTAAATGGGCCAATCCAGGAGCCTCTTCTTAGAACCGTAGAGTTGGATGGGACCATGAGGGTCATCTAGACAAACACCTGGCAAGGCAGCAGTCTTTCACCCAACATGGGCTCAAACCCACAACCCCGGGACTAAATGTCTCATGGGCAACTGACCAAGTTCTTATGCTCTTAACTCTCACTGAAGGAGCGATGAAAAGGATTCACAGGGCGATCTGAACCATGTCTACTCAGAAGTCAGCCCTGTCAATTTCACTCACAGGTAAGTAGGTTCAGGATTGCAGATGATGTGTGAAAGGAACGTTTTTTTAATATGCTGGGAAACTTCACTGAACTCCTTGCGAGTAAGAAGAAGGATCCGGGCCATGGGAAAGAACACTGCTGGATTATATAGCAGCATATCAAATGTGGACACACTGTTTAAATTCCATTTACAACTAACTAACTAACTGCATCCATTCTTCGGTGATCAGCCTTCTTTGTGGTCCAGCTCTCACTTCCATACATCACTACTGGGAAAACCATGGCTTCTTCTTGGGAGAAAAGCGATGGCAAACCTAGACAGCATCTTCAAAAGCAGAGATGTCACCTTGCCAACAAAGGTTCGTATAGTTCAAGCTATGGTTTTCCCAGTCGATTAGTCACGTCCGCCTCTTTGTGACCCCATGGACCAGAGCACGCCAGGCACTCCTGTCTTCCACTGTCTCCCGCAGTTTGGTCAAACTCATGCCGGTAGCTTCGAGAACACTGTCCCACCATCTTGTCCTCTGTCGTCCCCTTCTCCTTGTGCCCTCCATCTTTCCCAACATCAGGGTCTTTTCCAGGGAGTCTTCTCTTCTCCTGAGGTGGCCAAAGTCTTGGAGCCTCAGCTTCAGGATCTGTCCTTCCAGTGAGCACTCAGGGCTGATTTCCTTCAGAATGGAGAGTTTTGATCTTCTTGCAGTCCATGGGACTCTCCAGAGTCCCCTCCAGCACAAGAATTCAAAAGCATCCATTCTTCGGCGATCAGCCTTCTTGATGGTCCAGCTCTCACTTCCATACATCACTACTGGGAAAACCAGAGCTTGAACTATACGGACCTTTGTTGGCAAGGTGATGTCTCTACTTTTTAAAATGCTGTCTAGATTTGTCATTGCTTTTCTCCCAAGAAGCAGGTGTCTTTTAATTTCACAGCTGCTGTCACCATCTGCAGTGATCATGGAGCCCAAGAAAGTCAAATCTCTCACTGCCTCCATTTCTTCCCCTTCTATTTGCCGGAGGTGATGGGAACAGTGGCCACGATCTTCGTTTTTTTGATGTTGAGCTTCAGAAGTGTGTAGTCTTGCAAATTAAAAGCCTGACAAATGCATGCCAATGGCCAGGGTGAGACCAGGATTTGCTATTCTGGACAGGAAAATTATGGATGTACACTAGCCCCAAAGGCTATGCTGTGTCTCCTCCTTTGGAGACAGCACTGCTTCTGAAAACCAGTTTCTGGGAACCACAGCAAGCCTTGCATTCGAATCTCGCTTGCAGGATTCCCATTGGCAGCTGTGAGAATGCTGGTCTGATCCAGCACTTTCTTCTTACCGTCTTACTACCACGGCTGTCCTACCCTTTACCCCGCCAGCCTCAGCGGTCCCCGGTTGCCCCTGATAGCGCTGCAAGACAAAGCTCCTTTTCCAGGATGGTTGAAGCCCTGCACAGAAGCACCCCTCTTAGCACTGCAACATTTTGTTGCAGCAAGAGCTGCAACAAGAGTTCCTGAACACATACCATCGCAAGCCTGAGTTCAAGGCTTGCAGCTCAGATGCAACCCCCCTGCCTGCTTTTGGTGTGTAAAGAAGCTCAAGAGGAAAAATATCATAATACCTGCTGTCAGGCTGATGTTAGCTTCAGAGTCACGGCCCTTTAAAGCAGCCCTAAAGCCCAATTCTGGGCACTGCAGGGTGTTTCTAAAAAGGGTTTCTGGGAATTGTAGTTCTGAGAGGGGTGAACTACAGCGCCCATAGTTCTGTGATGAGGAGAAGGCACCCTGAATGTCATTTAATAATAATAATAATAATAATAAAATTATACCCCGCCCTTCCCAGTTAAAAAACCGGGCTCAGGGCAGCTAACAACAAATTTAAAACACTTAATTGTAAAAACAGCATAAAATACAGTATAAAAACATGAATAACAATAAAATTCAAAATTCAGAAATCAATTAGATAATCCCCAGGGCTAGCTGGCCGAATTGGTCCTACTTGGGCCAGGAAAGAGGCCAGGGGAGAATTATCTGTGGGGTCTCAGAGCGGGTGATCTTCATAAAAGGGGAGGGGGAGGGAAGAGAAGGGAAATAAAAGATCAGGCTGAATTCAAATTAAAGGCCAGGTGGAATAGCTCTGTCTTACAGGTCCGATGGAAGGAGGTTAAATCCTGCAGGGCCCTAGTCTCATGGGACAGAGCATTCCACCAGGTCGGAGCCATCACTGAGAAGGCCCTGGCCCTGGTGGAGGATAGTCTGACTTCTTTAGGGCCCGGGACCTCTAAACTATGGTTGTTCATAAGATGATGTTGAGCTTCAGACCATATTTTGCGCTCTCCTAGAAATGAGCAAACCAGGGATATTTGAGGGAGCAGGCTAGCAGGCGGGGCCCATGACTTACATCATAGGAGCCTACACAACACAAAACACAGTTGCTGTACGTAGGTTTTATTTCATTTGTTTTTTATCTCATATTTTGGAAATTCACACCCAGTTTTTCCCCCCTTTAAATTTTTTGGGGGTCCCCAAGAGAGTGGGGCCCTAAGCTAGAGCTTATTTAGCTTATACAGTGGTACCTCGGGTTAAGTACTTAATTTGTTCCGGAGGTCTGTTCTTAACCTGAAACTGTTCTTAACCTGAAGCACCACTTTAGCTAATGGGGCCTCCAGCTGTCGCTGTGCTGCCAGAGCACAATTTCTGTTCTCATCCTGCAGCAAAGTTCTTAACCCAAGGTACTTTTTTCTGGGTTAGCGGAGTCTGTAACCTGAAGCGTCTGTAACCTGAAGAGTCTGTAACCCGAGGTACCACTGTATGTAAATCCGGCACTGAACAGTCCTCACCCAAACAGATCTCTTAGTAGTGTTTTCTTTTTCATCCCTGGGATAGCAGTGAGCCCGGGCGATTCAGCCCTGCTTACGGGGATCAGTAGTCTAGGGTGGGGGTGTTTCAGGGCGGGTCGATCTGTTGAATCCCTCCTCTCCCAGGCTGCCTGTGGGGCTTTTGTGATCTGGGGCCATTCCCGTAAGGCTGTGCACTTTTGTGGGGGCAGAAAGGCGAGCCGGGGGGGTGGGGGGGGTGTTGAGAATCTCTGGGCATCCCGACATCACAGGGGACGGCGATTCTTCCTTTAAAAATAAAATAAAACAAGCACGCCTTTTGTTCTCGCAAGAAAGGGGGAGGCAGGGCAGGAAGATGGATCGCTGGGAAAACTCGCTGCAAAGCCCTGAACATCTGTTATGGATTCAAAGAAGCAGCCGGCAAGGCCTGGAGAAAACGCACAAAAAGATTTTACAGTGTGGCTGGAGGCAAAAAAAGAAAGGGATATTTTTGGGGAGGGTTGCACAAATTCACCGCAGGTGAGATCCTTGGCTTGCATGAGACCTGACCCTCGCAGGCTTGGATTTGATCGAAGAATGTTGATACTTCTTAATTCATTACCATATACATTTATATCCTGCCTTTAAGCTTAGCCCAGACTCAAGGCGGCTTTGCAAATGAAGACCCGAAGATGCAGCTAAAAAAAGAAGAAAAGCTAAAAACATAGAAAATATTTTATCCATGTAAGTGGAGCTCAAAGTTCACCCACATTTACCTTCAAGTCTGCCAGAGCACCCTAGTAGGTTCTAGCAGGTTCAGAGTGAGGTTTTTATTTTAAAAAAAATATCAAGACGAGAGAGTTTAAAATAAGACAGACTTTATTACGACAGGATCAAACCGGAAATGCAGATGCATCCATTTTAAAAGTCGTTCTGATTAACACAGAAACCCGTTAACGAAAGGGAGACAACTCTATAAATAAAAAGACAAACAAGCAATAAGTTAATACTGAATATTCCCCCGACACACACCAAATTAAGGCAGACATTGGCTTTTTCAATTTTTAAAGTTAGCAGATAAACTAAGAACCTTTTATGCACTTCTATACAAAGGAGAAAAAAATAATATTTGGTTCCAAATATCAGAAATAACTTTCATATATTTTTTTAAAAAGGATGCAATAAATAGCTTACAATATATTAAGGATTCAGGGTGGAGTTTTGCCAGTTCCGAGGTTCTCTATCCCAGATTTCCACTCCCTGGAGACAGTTTATCTCCTGATATGCTTTCTCCATACACAGAACTTGTGTAGGTAGGAATCGCCCGCAATCTCAGGCGACACAATGTGTTCCTGTGCTCCACACATCAAACATTCCTTGGAAGAATGAACTGCAAAACCAGCACGAGATTAAGGATTGTTTTCCGATGCACAAAAATATTAGCTCGGTTATGAGAGGTGCAATTCGCCCACCAAGCTCCTGAAAAAATTATGAGAACCCTCACTCACGCACAAATAGATACTGAAAGGGAATTCGAGAATGGAAACCCCTCCATGCAACATAATCCGAACCTGCAAAATTCCCCCCTTATATTTTAAAGGGGAAAAAGAAGTCGTTGTCGTCCCTGTGGGGGAAATACCACACTTTCTTCAAAAAAACTGAAGAGAATATCTTTTTTAAAACACACACACACAAACTTGGGGGCTAATCCTGTCCCCACTACAGAAGCATTATTGTGAAGGGCACAGGTGGTCTGGCTCTTTAAGAAGACCGGCTGTGCAATAAGGGGATGAGCGAATTAATGCAGGAGACAGACAACGACCCCCTGTCTCTCCCCCCCTCAATCTTGGAGACTTGAAGGCAGTTTCAAAAGACGGATCTCAACCCACTTTGCCAGGGAAAACGAGGTTTTAGCAGGGCTCTGCCGTTTGCACCGGGGGCGGTGGCGTAAAGGGGAACCCTCTCAGGATGCAAGGATGCAGACACTGTTTTCTAGATCTTTTTTTATCAGGTAACGCTCAAGAGACCCAGGCATGAGCCCCAAAAAACAGTGTTGTGTTGACATACTTGTGCAATCGAGAGTTTCCAAACAAGCCACACGCTTGCCCTGGAAAGAAGAATGCGAAGGGCTGCTGTTTCCGTTGCAAAAACCAGAGGGCCAGCCCAAGACGCAATCTGGGGTCCCTGCAGATGTTTGGGACAGCATCTCCCATCAGACCCTGCAAGGGCTGATGGGAAAATCCCAGTTGGACCCAACTCATCTTCCCAACCTGCTCTGCAAAAATGAATAAATTAAGAAGCACTTGGGTGTTTGGCCTGAGAAAATGCGAAACCCGCCATTAATACAATCTCTTCTCCACACCCACCCGCCCTTCTCCCTCACCCAGCCATTCAGAAACACCCAACATTCTTTCCTCTAAGCGCCCAAATTTGTGGGAAGAGTTCCGATTCGAATGCGTCGCCGCTCCCTTAAAAATTAAAAAATGCTTTCGGCCTGTGGTCAGTTTTCGAGGTTTTCTCCCACCCCCTCAGTAAAGAGAGAGAGAGAGAGAGAGAGAGAGAGAGAGAAATATCTTGGCAGGCGAGTATTTGTCAGTTTAAGTTTTTCGTTCTGTCAGTTTCGTCCTCCCGCTTTCCTGCCCGTAGTCAGAAAGTTCTTGGCTTTCCCTTTTCCCATGCTGCCAGATTCTCAGCTGAAACAACACAGTAAAGGAAAGCCCTTGCTTAAGGCTTTTTTGGGGGGAGGGGGGTGGAGCAACCACCAAAATTAAGGTTTTCCATATTGCAACTTCAAAAAGACAAAAAGCACGAGTAGCTGCAGATTCATCGGCCCCTTCTCGCATGGAGACAGGAGCCAACATTCAGGGTCGTATCCAATGCTAGCACTACGCAGAGGAGACCCACTGGAGATAAGGAACACGGCCGACTTATGTCCCTGAATGCTAGTGGGTCTACTCTGTGTAGGATTTGGTTGAATACATCACAATGGTATCGAAATAAAGTTCTGCAAATCTTTTGGAGTCAGAGACAGAACCCCATAATTCACGGGTCACAATATATTTTTTTTGCCAAGGCCCTAAGCTAGATTTCCCCAACTTGGTGCCCACGCCAGAGGTTTTGGACTACAGTTCCCAGCCATGTGCAGTGATGACTATGGATAATGGGAGTCGTAGTCCAACATATGAGCACCAAGTTGGGGGAGGAGACCCTGAGAAAATGTGAGTAGCCTGGCAGAAAACAACATCCTCCTGGATGCCACAAAAAATCTCGCCACGTTCCATGGAGTCGGCTTTGCTCCAGACTTCCCACATGTCCCTGGCTACTCTCTGTGAAACTATCGCAGCAAGCAGGACGTCGCCTGTTCTCGTGGTTCCACTTCCTTCTCACGCTGCATATAATTTCCTCGATCCCTCCCTCAAGCAGAGAAAACCAGCAATAGCACAGAAGTTGTTCATCTCAGTCCATTGCTTGAGAAACGTCAGTTTTTTTATCAAACAAAAAAAATCATCGACAGCATAAAAAAAGAGTCTTCCCAAACAACTCAGGATATCTAGAGAAAGCAGACCATTTTTAAGAGCGCTGGAAGTGGTCTGAGAAAGACACACCTCTCGCCCCCCAACAGCATACAAAAACACACATTGTTGCCTCTGGATAAACAGGTCGATGAGGTTTTTGAATCGCTGCGGGAACCTAGCGAACCTCTTTAAGCAGAGGCGGAAAGTCAGGTGGGCGTCCACACACAAAGAGCAGGGGTTCCTAGTGGCCTCCAGCTCTCTCGGGTGCAGACAAGGGAAATCTCGCATCTTTCTCTCCATGCCTCAGTTTCTCCTCCCAACCTCGAAACGCCCCTTCAGTCGTCGGAGACAGAGATCTGGCTGAAGATGGGCAGCCGGCGGCCCAGCGGGCCCAGCCCCGGGGATTCTGACCCACTGCTGCCCCCCGAACTCCTGGAGTCTTCCTGGTCGGAGAGGGAGTCAGCGGAAAGGCTCTTCTGTAGCGTCAGTAGGGCTGGGAAGGCGAAGGGGCAGGGCAGGGACCCCCGAGCGGCTCCGGCGGCGGCATGGAGGGGGCAGGCGAGAGTCGGCTGGATCAGGGCGTCGCGAGGGAAGGAGGTCTCCGGAAGGCGGGGGCCCGCAGGCAAGGGATCAGCGGCGGGGCAGTGGCGAGTCGGCAAGGGTGCCTGCGGGGGCGGCACGCGGCGCTCCTCTGCGTTGTGGATGAAGTGGCAGCGTGCGCCGTAAGGGCAGATGCCCGAGGTGTGGAAGGTGCGGCAAGGCTCCGTCTTGTACTTGGGGTGGCGGCTGAGCCCCCGTAGCTCGGCCGCGCCGTGGGCAAACTGGCACTTGGCCCCGTACTTGCAGACGCCGCTCTCCTCAAAGGTGCGACACAGCTCCGTCTTGTAGCGGGATGAGGGCGGCTTGGCGTCGCCGCGGCAGCAGCCCTCGATCAGGCTGGTGGAACGGTCCGCCCGGAAGGGGATGCGCTGGAGGGAGGTGGGCGGCAGCTCAGAGTCCCGGCCCCACGGCTGCTGGAGGGGCCACGCTGGGTCGCTCGGACCGGCCACCGCCGCGTGGGGAGTGACGGTGTCGGCTGGGTGCGCCGCACAGCCGGTTCCTTCGAAGCCGGAAGCCGAGAGGGCGACAGGGCAGGCGGAGAAGGTGCGCTGGAAGCGGAGGAAACGCCTGGCATCCGGGCTGTTGTCGTCCTCGTTCAGGTTCAGGCTCAGGAACGTCTACGAAAGAGGGGAAGGGAGGAATATTATGAGAATTGAGAATTGGACTTCCAATTTACCGCGGAGCTGAATGCAAGCGGGATTCAGCCCTCCGGGGAGAATCTGGCTTTTCGGGGGGAAACGGGGGCTTTGCAAGGGCGCTGCAAGCCCCCAAAAGCCTCAGGAGGAAGATCCTGAGGACAGGATCCCATCAAGCCATAGAATGGTCTCAACACTGCCAGAAAAAGCTCCTTTGAGAATTGAATATATCAGTCGCCGTTTTGGTTTTTTTGGCCACAGGCAACTCAAAGCGATGTACAGAAAAATGGAAAACACAAACGACCGTATTTTTCGCTCCATAAGATGCACTTTTTTCCTCCTAAAAAGTAAGGGGAAATGTCTGTGCGTCTTATGGAGTGAATGTGTGGTCCCTGGAGCCGAATTGCCCAGGGGCAAAAAGCAGATCGTGCTTTTTTTTTTTTTTTTTTGAAAGAGGGAAGGGTGTGTTGAAACGAAGCCGCTGATTGTTTGCCAATCGGGGAGAGAGATAAGGGATGCTACAGATAAAGGAGGCTGCCTGGGAAGGGGGAGGTAAAGACAGCAAACTTGCAAAGGGGGGGGGGGACAGGAAGACTAAAGCAATAAGGAGAGAAATTAGAAGAAAAGGAGGAGCAAAAAACTGCTCCAGCTAAGGAAAAGACATTAAGGCAAACAAGAGGGAAAGGAGTGTTGAAAGGAAGCAGCTGATTGGTGGGATTGGAAGAGAGATAAGGGACGCTAGTGATAAAGGAGGCTGCCTGGGAGGGGGGAGGTAAAAGCCCATGGATCCTCAGGATTTTTACATTGGGTCACCCCAAATTCACCATCAGATCACATAGCATGTCCATGGCTACAGCCTGCCCCCCCAAAATCACGCACCCACTGTTTCGTGGGGCCGCAATGGCGCAAAAACGTGGTTACAAAGCACGGATCTACATGGATCCTCAGGATTTTTGCATTGGGCTACCCCAAACCCACCGTCAAATCACATGTCTGTGGCCACAGCATGAACCACAAAAATCATACATCCACTTTTTACATCCATCCAATATTTTTTTTCTTGTTTTCCTCCTCTAAAAACTAGGTGTGCCTTATGGTCAGGTGCATCTTATGGAGCGAAAAATACAGTACATTAAAGCCAGGGGAGAGAGAGAGAGAATATTAGAATTGTAGAGTTGGGAGGGACCTCAACGGTCATCTAGTCCAACCCCCTGCAATGCAGGAATCAAGACATGCCACTCGCTCTAAAAGGCCATAGATGGGAAAAGCCACAGGCCTGGTTAAAAAGGAAGGTTTTCACCTGGCAGCTGAAGATAACTAATGAAGGCATCAGGCTAGACTCCCTGGGGAGAGCTAAACCTGAATCAACGGAGTAATGCAGCAGCAAAAAAGGCGAATGCTATTCTGGGCTGCATCAACAGAAGTCCAGATCGAGGGACGCAATAATCCCACTCTATTCTGCCTTGGGCAGAACACACCTGTAGTCCCGTGTCCAGTTCTGGGCTCCGGAATTTAAGAAGGATGTTGACAAGCTGGAAGGCGTACAGAGGAGGGTGACCAAGATGACCAGGGGTCTGTAAACCAAGCCTTATGAGGAATGGTTGAAGGAGCTGGGTATGATAATAAATAAATAATAATAATAATATATTTATTTATTTATTATAATTTATTATTTTTTATACCCCGCCCATCTGGCTGGGTTTCCCAAGCCACTCTGCACGGCTCCCAACCAAATATTAAAAACACAATACATGGCAGAACCTGCCAAGGAAAACAAAGAATTTATTTATGTACGCTGCAACAGCAGCAAGCGTCTTGATAGCACAAGGATGGAAGAATGAGGAAATCCCGACAAAAGAACAGTGGCAAGAGAAATTGTTGAATTATGCAGAACTGGCCCAATTGACATACAAATTGCGAGACGAGGACAACTGTGACTTCAAGGAGGAACGGGAACTTTTTACAAACTATCTAAAAAGACAACAAAATGAACTGGACTCCCTGGCAGGTTTTGAATAAACATACACAAATTTAATGGTTGATAATATGATGGATAGATACCGTATTTTTCGCTCTATTGGACGCACCGGACCATAGGAGGGGAAGAACAGGAAAAACAGAACAGGTCGGTTTGGAGGCTGCTATCTGCAAGCCTTGGGAGCCGGGTGGGAACTCCCGCCCGGCTCCCAAGGCTTGCGGATATCTGCCCGAAGCCCGGGGCGCGCAACGCAGCACGCCCCAGGCTTCGGGCTGCTATCCGCAAGCCTTCGGAGTGCTCCGAAGGCTTGCAGATAGCTTCCTGAAGCCTGCATTCGCTCCATAGGACGCACACACATTTCCCTTTCATTTTTGGAGGGGGAAAAGTGCGTCCTATAGAGCGAAAAATACGGTATGTACAATTTATAATATGCAGAGAAAATATGTGAAGAGAAATCAGGGAGAGGAGCTGAGGGAGGTCCTTGGTCGGGGGGGAAGGGGGCGAAAGTGGGGGGAAATAATGTATGTGATTATATGGTTTGATAATTTGTTCTGTGGAAATTGATCAATAAAAAATATTAAAAATTAAAAAACATAATACAGCAATAAAAAATTAAAAACTTCCCTAAACAGGGCTGCCTTCAGATGTGTTTTAAAAGTAAAATAGTTGCTTATTGCCTTGACATCTGAAGGGAGGGTGTTCCACAGGGCGGGCGCCACCACCGAGAAGGCCCTCTGCCTGGTTCCCTGTAACTTTGCTTCTCGCAAGGAGGGAACCGCCAGAAGGCCCTCGGCGCTGGACCTCAGTGTCTGGGCAGAACGGACAGTGTCCGGGATGGAGATGCTCCTTCAGGTATACTGGGCCGAGGCCATTTAGGGTTTTAAAGGTCAGCACCAACACTTTGAATTGTGCTCAGAAATGTACTGATTACCCTGGAAAAGAGGAGACTGAGAGGAGATATGACGGCCATCTTCCAATATAAAAAGGGCTGTCATGTGATAGATGGAGCAAGCTTGTTTTCTCCCACTCTGGAGGGTAGGACTCGAACCCATGGCTTCAAGTTACAAGAAAGGAGAATCCGACTAAACACTCGGAAAAACTTTCTGACAGTAAGAGCTGTGGAATAGTCTCCCTCGTGAGGTTGTGGACTCTCCTTCCTTGGAGGTTTTTAAGCAGAGGTTGGGCAGCCATCTGTCATGGATGCTTCAGCTGAGATTCCTGCATTACAGAGGGTTGGACTAGATGTCCCTTGGGGTCCCTTCCAACCCCACATTTCTACGATTCCATAATTCCATGCAAGGCCCTGATGCAACTACAACTTCCACACTTCTCTGCAGGCAAAGAGTTCTCCCGTTCTCAACGCTTGACCTCCAGGGACCAGGGCTGCTCTCTCGCGCCAAGTGACGCCGAGGAGGAAGCGATTTGCCGGCCGACCCGTCCTCCCCGTGGGCTAATTGTTTTGAGCTGCGCAATCCGGCGACGTCTAAGCCAAGGCCAGCCGCTCTGAGCCCTCCCTGGGAATCCCCCGCGAGGTGCAAGCTTGTGGCTGCACTCGCCCTCTGCAAATCCCTCGGACGGAGGCAGCTCGTCCCAGAGGAAGCTATTAACTAAATGGATCTCCATCTGGTCGCTGGGCGGATGTCACCTGCCTGGCCCAGCGCATCAGGATGGCATCCAGGGAAGGAGCCTTGAAATCAAGGGTGAGGAATGCGAGACCCTCCAAATATTGACGGACTTCAGCTCCCATCGTTCACGGCAACCAGTGTGGCCAAGGGGCAGCAGAGGCATTTTAATGTTTTGCTCCCTGGCAGTGTTTGAAATACCCCAGGTACAGGTCTAATAATAATTATTATTATTATTATTATTTATTTATACTCCACCCATATGGCTGGGTTTTCCCAGCCACTCTGGGCGGCCTCCAACCAAATATTAAAAGCAATACATCGTCAGACATTAAAAACTTCCCTAAACAGGGCCGCCTTCAGTTGTCTTTTAAAAGTAAAATAGTTGTTTATTGGCTTGACATCTGGTGGGAGGGCGTTCCACAGGGCGGGCGCCACCACCGAGAAGGCCCTCTGGAACTACTGGTCTTCTGGCAGTTCCCTCCCTGCAAGAAGCGAAGTTACAGGGAGCCAGGCAGAGGGCCTTCTCGGTAGTGGCCCCCTCCCTTCAGAAGTCAAGGAGATAAAGAACTACACTTTTAGAAGGCATCTGAAGGCAGTCCTGTATCGGGAGGTTTTTAACACTTGGTTTTTTTATGTTTTTAGAAATGCTGTAAGTGTCTGGGTTAACCAGCCAGATGGGCAGGGTATAAATAATAAACTTATTATTATTATTAATTATTATTATTATTATTACAGTGGTCCTCAAGTTAACGGGATGCAGGTGGCGCTGTGGGTTAAACCACAGAGCCTAGGACTTGCCAATCAGAAGGTCGGCGGTTCGAATCCCCGCGACGGGGTGAGCTCCCCTTGCTCGTTCCCTCCTCCTGCCAACCTAGCAGTTCGAAAGCACGTCCAAGTGCAAGTAGATAAATAGGTACCACTCCAGCGAGAAGGTAAACGGCGTTTCCGTGCGCTGCTCTGGTTCGCCAGAAGCGGCTTAGTCATGCTGGGCACATGACCCGGAAGCTGTACACCGGATCCCTCGGCCAGTAAAGCGAGATGAGCGCCGCAACCCCAGAGTCGTCCGCGACTGGACCTAACAGTTAGGGGTCCCTTTACATTTACCTTCTTGACTCAGCACATGGTTAAACTATGGAACTCCCTGCCACAGGGAAATGGGATGGTCACCAAACTGGATGGCTCTAGAAGAGGATTAGAGGAGGAGAGGGCTGTTGATGGCAGCTAGCCAGAATGGCTATGCGGTGTGTCGGCATTTGAAGGCAGTAATGCGTCTGGGTACCAGCTGCTGAAAGCTGCAAGAGGGGAGAGTTGCTCTTGCACTCACGTCCTCTTGCGGGTTTCCCATAGTGGGCATCTGGTTGGCCACTGTGAGAACAGGAGGCTGGACTAGACGGGCCATTGGCTTGATCTTCTGATGTTCTTATGCAACCTCCAGGTGCAGAGGCAGTCTATCCAGATTCCTATAGTTCCCCTAGGAAACTGAGAACAGGGTGCTGGACTAGACTCCCTGGTCCTGAATGGGGCAACTGTGCCCCCAAAGGACCAGGTGCGCAGCCTGGGAGTCATTCTGGACTCACAGCTGTCCATGGAGATGCAGGTCCATTCTGTGTCCAGGGCAGCTGTTTACCAGCTCCATCTGGTACGCAGGATGAGACCCTATCTGCCCACAGACTGTCTCGCCAGAGTGGTGCATGCTCTAGTTATCTCCCGCTTGGACTGCTGCAATGCGCTCTACGTGGGGCTACCTTTGAAGGTGACCCGGAAATCACAACTAATCCAGAATGCGGCAGCTAGACTGGTGACTGGGAGCGGCCGCCGAGACCACATAACACCAGTTCTGAGAGATCTGCATTGGCTCCCAATATGTTTCCGAGCACAATTCAAAGTGTTGGTGCTGACCTTGAAAGCCCTAAACAGCCTCGGCCCAGTATACCTGAAGGAGCGTCTCCACCCCCATCGTTCTGCCCGGACACTGAGGTCCAGCTCTGAGGGCCTTCTGGTGGTTCCCTCATTGCGAGAAGCAAAGCTACAGGGAACTAAGCAGAGGACCTTCTCGGTGGTGGCACCCGCCCTGTGGAACGCCCTCCCACCAGATGCCAAAGAGAACAACAACTACCAGACTTTTAGACAACATCTGAAGGCAGCCCTGTTTTTAACGTTTGATGCATTACTGTATTTTAATATTGTGTTGGAAGCCGCCCAGAGTGGCTGGGGAAGCCCAGCCAGATGGGTGGGGTATAAATAATAAATTATTATTATTATTATTTAGATGGGCTGTTGCCGTGATCCAGCAGAGCTCTCCTTTGGGATCTCTCTCTCAGCATGGACGAAACCCAGCTCCTTACTCTTTTTGCACCTTATTGGGGGCGAGCGCCCGTGCGGCGTGTGAAACGCTTCGGCCCACGACGCAGACATCGCCCTGCTCTGTCCAGCAGGTACCAGCCACCACCGCAAGTACCTCCAGATGCCCCTAAGATGCAAATCCTAGTCTGAATAGTGGCTTTTATCCCACAACTGAGGACCATATGCTACAGGTCAATACTCGGGGTTGCCAGGGAAACAGACAGGGCAGCGGGAACAAAAGTCTCACCACAATGGCTCCCTAGAGTCACCGCCAATTGTGATGGAAATTTCCACCCTCCGAATACCATCACATGCAAACACCTCCAGCCCCAACCTGCACCCCAACCCTCGAGGCCAAACCACAAACCCTTCCTTTCTATGTTGCTAATATTTCCTGTACGTTAAGAACTCTCGATTAGGCACAAGATAAATGGTGTGTTTGGGGGTTGTTGTTTTTTTACTTCGCTTCTCTCTCTCTCTCATTGCAACGCAGACATTGTTTTGTATACAACATTAGCAGCGATGCCCTGACCGACTGAAGCACAAATGTCAACTTTCCCCCTTTTTAATGTGAAATTCCATCATTCCAAATAGGATTGCTCGCAAGAAAAGGGAAAAGTTGACAGCTTTGAACCAAACACTTCCAAACTTGCAGCCAGGAGTTCTAACCCGGCAGGCCCCAACATTTTACAGTTGCAGGGCCCACGTTGAATGCGTATTTGGGGACCAATCTCTCAGTCTTTTACCATATACAGTGGTACCTCGGGTTACAGGCGCTTCAGGTTACATACACTTCAGGTTACAGACTCTGCTAACCCAGAAATAGTACCTCGGGTTAAAAACTTTGCTTCAGGATGAGAACAGAAATCGCGTGGCGGCAGCGGGAGGCCCCATTAGCTAAAGTGGTGCTTCAGGTTAAGAACAGTTTCAGGTTAAGAACGGACCTCCGGAACGAATTAAGTACTTAACCCGAGGTACCACTGTATTTGCATGGTGGTAGGGCTGCTGGAGAATTGCACCGTGGATCAGGCCGTGATCCAGGAAGAGGTCCCGACCCACCAGTTGCAGACCATTGTCCAATACTTGCAAGCACCCATAACCTCTATTTCTGCAAGCAGATCAAAGACTAAGTGGGGCATTGATGTCCCAAAGGGTCTCCAATTCTGGCAGGCTCAGAGGGGCTCTTACACCTTTACTTAGAAGCTGCCCTTCAGGGAAACTGTTAACTAACTTGGTAGAACTTGCTAGGTTCTTATTTTCTCCTAAACACACAAAATTATACAGGCAGCTGCGTTCAATATTTGGTTCTAAGCAGGAAACAAGATTGATGTTGAACCCCTGAGGGTTCCCCATCTCTGCCTTACAAACAACCCTGTAAGGTAGGCCAGCACGATTACCCGATGGGCAAGAACCAGGAGGGGGAATCTCTGTGTCCAAGGCCTTCCAGCATGTTCACAGCAGATGCTACACGCAAACAGGGAACCTCTCTAGATATCTAACTGTGCACCCTGACCTGGGACTAAGCACCACACAACACAGCAGGATGCTGCCCCAGTTCACATGCGGTCAGGCACCATAGCCAACGGCTTCTGGGATATGAAATCCAGGCACAGCATGACGTCCACAACACCCCCTGGTGCATCTCCATTTTGCAGGCAATGTGCAGAATCTCTCCCTCCCTTTCACAGGGCAAAGTCTCCTTCACCTTTGCAGGAAGGAAGCATCATCTAAAAGCAGACCTCGATTCGAATTCAGGGCCCCAGCAGAACAGAGACATACCGCCTGGGGTTCAGCCAAGGCTCAAATTATGGGGAGGTAGGGAGCCCTTGCCCAAACTCAAAAACTCCCCATTTAACACCCAGACACTGCTTTATACACATCCCATAATTTCTTTAAAGCAAGGCCCCTCTGCCACCCTCCCTCCGTGGTGGAAATCCCAGAGATCTGGTCCCAGGTTCATCGACTATTGGACTTTTAAATGCTGGGATCAAGTTCATACATTTTGCTGAATTACTTGAACTAAATAGTTTTCATCAAGAGTCTGAATAAATTATTTATTACTGTATATGAGTTTTATCACATTATTATCTTCTTCAGTGGGGCGTGCAAACTGCTATTCTGAATAATGTTTTTTATTATAGGGTAAGAGGGTACATGGGATGAGTTTATGGAACCCAAGCAGGCAGTGGCCCAAAAAAGTTTGGGAACAAAAAAACACACAAATCAGACTGCAACACGCGTCGGCTTTCTGAACAGCTGGGCAGGCTCGTCCAAAGAAAAACATTTTTAGCATGCACCCAAAAAAAATAGAGGACAGCAAAGGCATCTGCTTTATATCAAGAGGCAGGGAGTTCCAAAGGGGACCTTGCAAATGGGATGCTTAAAGAGGAGAGAGAGAATGCGAGGCAGGAGGAGAAGAGGGTTTGATGAAGAACAACAGGTGGACTGAAAAGAACTGCTGCAAAAAATCCACTCAGTATAAAGGCCCAAAGCAATGGGTCAGTTTTTCCAGTGGCGCCTGCCCCCTGCAAGAAGGAAGCCTCTCCAGAGGAGAGCGGATTGCTTCTACATACATAACAGATCGTGATGGGATCCAGTGATCCAGAAAGGTCGCTCCATGCACCAAGCAAGCAGCTCAGGAGAAAGCAGAAGACTTTTTGGGTATCCTTGCATTCTTAGACAATGCTGAGTGATGTCTGGACCTGCTGATCTGGCCCAGTAACTTCCTAATTGGGGATTTTATTTTATTTTAATTTTTGCAAGCGAAGTTACAGCTGGGGAGGGAAAGAGTTTGCTGCAGTTTCCTTAAAACACTTTGATAGCTTGCATAAAAATAGGGGCAGAGTCCTTCAGCAAACAAAACAAAACAAAACAAAACAAACAAAACACTGTTTTAAATGAGTTTTCAGAGTACTCCCTGCCTTCTCCTGCCACCCCTATTTTTTAACTACCAAGGTTTCTGGCAGCTAAAAAAAGGGCAGTGAGTTTGCAGAGGCTTAAGCAACACGAGGAAGTTGCAAGGCTAAAAATAAACCGGCAGAAAAGCGCTTTTCCTGAACTTCTGGGAAAGTCCAGCAGTTAAGAACAGCATCCTACAAGCACACACCTTACCTTGCAGAGAGCATCATCCAGCTCCTGGAAAGGACTCAGGAAATACGAGGGCATCTTCTCCTCGTGGAAGCGTCTGGCTCTTAAAAAATCGCCCACCCTCGTCCCCGCCAGGGAGAACCGATTAAAACCCAGAAAGCCCTGAAGCGGCTCTTTTAAAAGCCTCCTGCCTCCCATCTCAGATTTGGGGGGGAGCCACGCCTCCTGGTCCAGAGTGGGCGGGGCATAGGCGGGGCGGGCGGGGGAGTCCCGGGCAAGGAGGGGGCTAACAATCTGGTGGGATGGAGGGATGGAAAGGGAGGGGGCGAGAAAAGGAACAGGATGGAGAGGGAGGAATGAATACCTGTGGAAGGTCTTTTTGCGCAAGAGCAGCAAAGGACCTGGGCTCCTTAACTGGAGCTGTGCTTTTCAACGAAAGGAAGAGGTGCAGGCTTCTGAGCTATGCAGAACTCTTAGTGCTGCAGTCTTCTTCTTCTTCTGCGATCCCTCATAGCCAAGTAAGATTGTCTTCCATAAACACGGTTTTAAAAGTAAGTCCGTAAGTGACTGTGGAGGCCAATTCTGGATCCAGACATCCTTCCACAGTGGGGACATTGGTTTCCGGGCGGGAGTTGATCACGGTGTGGATTTGCCAAGCGTGCCTTCCTCTTAGCAAGTTTCTCCCTTGTGTCCTGAATTCGAGTGTCTTCAAAGCCCAGGACACCTTTGGTCAAGGCTGTTCTCCAACTGGAGTGCTCCCAGGCCAGTGTTTCCCAATTGTCGGTGTTTATACTACATTTTTTTAAACATTTGCCTTGAGACAGTCTTTCAACCTCTTTAAACCAGCATTAGGCTTCCATTTTTAAGTTCAGAATAGAGTATAGTGGTACCTCAGGTCACATACGCTTCAGGTTATATACGCTTCAGGTTACAGACTCCGCTAACCCAGAAATAGTACCTCGGGTTAAGAACTTTGCTTCAGGATGAGAACAGAAATTGTGCTCCAGCGGCATGGCAGCAGCAGGAAGCCCCATTAGCTAAAGTGGTGCTTCAGGTTAAGAACAGTTTCAGGTTAAGAACGGATCTCCGGAACGAATTAAGTTCTTAACCCGAGGTACCACTGTAGTTGCTTTGGAAGACGATCATCAGGCATCCGCACAACATGACCAGTCCAGCGAGGTTGATGTTGAAGAATCATTGCTTCAACACTGGTGATCTTTGCTTCTTCCAGTACACTGGTATTAGTTCTCCTGTCTTCCCAAGTGATGTGTTAAATTTTTCAGAGACCTCGTTGATGGAATCTTTTGAGGAGTTGGAGATGGCGTTTATAAGTGGTCCATGTTTCACAAGCATATAGTAAGGTTGGGAGTACAATAGCTTTGTAAGCAAGCATTTTGGTTTCCCTGCAAATGTCCCGGTCCTCAAACACTCTGCACTTCAACCGGGAGAAAGCTGCACTCACAGAGCTCAGGCGATGCTGGATTTCGGCATCCATCAATGCTGGCCCTAGAACCCTTGTGAGCGAAGCAGAAATGGGTAGCTCACCTGTAGCTGAGCAGAGAGCAGGGTGGGCAGCAGTTAATCTAACCAAGTAACGGGTTTTTCACAATTCTTTATGTGATGTTTTATCTCTTTGCATAGCCAGTCTGGTGCAGCAGTTAGAGTGTCGTACTTAGGCCTGGGTTCGAATCCCCTGTACTCAGCTCATCACTGGGCGAGACTTTGGTCCAGTCGTGGCCTCTCAGCCTAACCTACCTCACAGGGCTGCTGTTTTGGCAATTAAGTGAGGCGGGGGAGAATGATGCCCTCCACATTGCGCTTCTGGGAGAAGAAGTATACCTGAAGGAGCATCTCCACCCCCATCTTTCAGCCCGGACACTGAGGTCCAGCTCCGAGGGCCTTCTGGCGGTTCCCTGATTGCAAGAAGGGAGGTTACAGGGAACCAGGCACAGGGCCTTCTCGGTGGTGGCACCTGCCCTGTGGAACACCCTCCCACCAAATGTCAAGGAAAGAAACAATTATCTGACTTTTAGAAGACATCTGAAGGCAGCCCTGTGTAGGGAAGTTTTTAAGGTTTGATATTTTATCGTGTTTTTAATATTCTGTTGGGAGCTGCCCAGAGTAGCTGGGGAAACCCAGTCAGATGGGCGGGGGTATAAATATATTATTAGTATTAGTATTAGTATTAGTATTAGTATTAGTATTATTAGATGTAAATGCAATCAGTGCAATCCATCAATAAAGGGACCCCTGACCATTAGGTCCAGTCGTGGCCGACTCTGGGGTTGCGGTGCTCATCTTGCTTTACTGGCCAAGGGAGCCGGCGTACAGCTTCCAGGTCATGTGACCAGCATGACTAAGCCACTTCTGGCGAACCAAAGCAGCATACGGAAACGCCGTTTACCTTCCCGCCGGAGCGGTACCTATTTATCTACTTGCACTTTGATGTGCTTTCGAACTGAATCAATAACCAATGAATAAACCTTGAGGACAGATTGCTGAAATCACCTACAGTAGAAAGAACTGTGGTTGCTGGTTTTACCCTAGCTCTGTACTCTGGATTCATACTGGCTAATGCCCCACCTAGTCCAGCATCCTGTTTTTACGGAGGCTGACAGGATGCCCCAAAGAGAAATCTGCAAGCAAGACTTTCCCCATAAGAGCCCTCGCCCCTCTTGCAGATTCCAACAACTGGAATTCAAAAGCATTACTGCTTCTGATCGCAGCCTGGTATCCATCCATAGCCCTCTCCTCCTCCATGAATTTGTCCAACCCTAAAGCCGTCCCAGTCGGCAGCCATCCCTGCCCCTTGTGGCAGTGAGTTCCACAGGTCAACTATGTCCTGCATGCTGGATTTTCTGTTACCCGTCCTGATTCTTCCCACTTTCGCCTTCATTGGATGTCTACGAGTTCTAGCATTGCAAGAAAGGGAGAAGAATGTTTTCTCCTCCTGCTTTCTTGACGCCGTACAAAATTTTCTGTACTTCGGCTCACTTTTCTCTAAACTAAAAACCTCTCCTTGTGGGAGAGTCTCTCTGGAGGGGCATTCCTGCAGCACTACAAAAGTGGGGAATATGGGGTAGGGGAAGTTATTTATGTACAGTGGGAAGTCAAACGCCTTGGGTGTAACCTATGACACCTCCCTTTCCATGGAGCCACAGCAAAGTTGGCATTTTTCCATCTCCGCCGTATTAATCAGTTGGTCCCTTCCTTTTCTCGCCCTGATCTGGCCACAGTGATCCATGCGACGGTCGCCTCCAGGCTTGACTACTGTAACTCGCTCTACGCGGGGCTGCCCTTGAAGCTGACCCAGAAACTCCAGCGGGTGCAGAATGCCGTGGCGAGGCTCCTTACGGGGTCGTTGCCACAGGATCACATCCACCCAGTGCTTTACCAGCTGCACTGGCTCCTGCTGGAGTACAGGGTCAGGTTCAAGGTGATGGTTTTGACCTTTAAAGCCCTACGCGGCTTAGGACCTTCGTATCTACGGGACTGCCTCTCCTTGTATGCCCCACGGAGGACCATAAGGTCCGCAAATGACAACATGTAGGAGGTCCTGAGTTGCAAGGTGGTTAGATTGGTAACTAGGGCCAGGGCCTTTTCAGTACTGGCTCCGACTTGGTGGAACGCTCTGTCACAAGAGACCAGGGCCCTGCGGGACTTGACATCTTTCTGCAGGGCCTGCAAGACAGAGCTGTTCTGCCTGGCCTTTGGTTTGGACTCAGTCTGACCCCTGTGTTTCCCTCCCCTTATGGTTTTGATTTATGGGCTACTTTTCAAATGAGGCTGCATTTTAAATTGCATTTTAACCTGTATTTTAAATTGGGTTTCTTTCCTATTATGTTTTTACTGTAATTCTACTGGTGTTAGCTGCCCTGAGCCCAGCTCTGGCCGGGGAGGGCGGGGTATAAATAACATTTATTATTTATTTTTATTATTAAGTCATACATTTTGGCTCATGAATGCCGCAAATCCGGA